GTCGTGGCGGCCTCCGGCCGTTGTGCTGTAATCCTTCTCTTGAGACTTCATTATGACTGGGGGGCGGTTCGCGCGTCAAGTGCCGCGCGTGTCCACCTTGCCATTGTTTAAACAGAGGGCCGCGTCATTTCTGCTTCGCCCGTTTTCAAGCCACGATCGAGGAGCCCTTCCTATAAGTATATATAAGGGGCCACCCTCCACCGTCCAAAAGAAATAAAGCGAACTGGAAGAGCAGCATATAAACCCCAAAACCCACCGTCGCCATCACGATCCAGATCATCACCGCATCAACTCAAGCCCTTAAAAGGACGCCACACCGACGGTTCGCCCTTGCATTAGCGAACAGCAGACTGAAACGCAAATACAATACCGTTACGGTCGAATCCGCCAACGCTACAGCCATGCCGAACTGGAGCACGCTTCCCGCTCTTGAGCACGCCGTCAAGGAGCGCAGTGGCGCCGTGCCGCCGAAGCAGCCGGTCAACATCAAGACCTTCGAGCAGTACGAGAATTATCGCAAGAACATAACGCAGATGGAGCAGGTACTAGCCTTTGACCATGTCTGCTCCAAGAAGGCTGGTCAAAAAGAGCGCGAGGCGAACGCAATCTTGCAGCTGTTGCGCCAAAGGGACAAGGTGTTTTTCGATGGCGCTCCGCCCAGGAAAGGCTACAAAAACCAGCCGCACAAGCGGCACCCCAGCGACCATCACCTTAGCAATGTGGACCTCGTAGAGGAATCAAGCATCTTCCACGTGGCCAGAAAGATGCCAAAGGGCGCGCACCTCCACATTCACTTCAACTCGTGCCTCGAGGCAAAGTTCCTGCTGAACCTGGCAAAGGACCAGGAGAAGATGGATATCGGAAGCAATAGGGCCCTGACGAACACAGGCGATCTCGAAGAGTGTGAAATACAATTCACCATCCGGGGGGAGCTCGGAAGCCAGGCCGAAACCCCGCGGGAAGAGATGTTGCAGAACTGGACTAAGAAGTTCATTGGGAACCCGCCAAAGCCCCCGGTTCTGGTGAACTTGTTCGACAAGGAGAAGTTCGATCAGAGCGAGGAGCCCACCGACAAGATACGGTGGATGAGTTACAAAGACTTTCGCGACGAATTCTCGCACAAGTTCCCGGGGAAGGACTTGGACGACTGGCTTGAGGGGAAGCTGGTTTACAACGCAGAGGAGGCGCACGGTGTGCATCAAACGGCTGAAGGGTGAGTCCAAGCAGTGCCCAGAAAAAACACTGCGTCGACATGAAAACGCTAACTTTGCTCCTGTTTTTCGCGCCTACAGAGCCTGGGCCAAGTTTAATGGACGGACCAGGATGATGAAGGGCCTGTTCAACTACGAGACAGCCTATCGGAAGTACACCCAACGGTGTCTGCAGGACTTTGTTGACGACAACATCCAGTACGCCGAGATCCGACCCAACTTTATGCATACGAACCAGGTCTGGTCAACGGACGGCAAGCAGCTATACAACAACTACAAGATCATGGAGATCATTACAGATGAATGCAACCGTTTCCTCGAGGATAGGAGGGGGAGGTCGGACGCTCCATTTTTCCAAGGAATCAAGGTTATTTACTGCACCCCAAGATCTTTTCCCGACCACCTGATCAAGGACTCTCTGGATGAGTGTTTAGAACTCAAGCGCTCGGCTGAGATCGGTCACATGATTGCTGGTAGGTCTCGACGAGCTGGTATGCTTAACGTTCTAACCCCACGAGAGCAGTCACTAATAGGGGAATTGCTGTCATTTAGGTTTCGATCTCGTCGGCCAAGAGAACGCCGGAAGGCCTTTGAGGGACCATGTAGAAAACTTACTCCAGTTCCAGGCCGATTGTAAAATGAAAGGCGTGGAAATACCGTTTCTGTTCCACTGCGGAGAGACACTGGAGATGGGGACCGACACAGACGGCAACGTCGTGGACGCGCTCCTGCTCGGCTCAAAGCGGATCGGGCACGGATTCTCACTTTCGAGGCACCCATACATCATGGAAAGGATGAAGAAGCAGAACATATGCCTCGAGGTTTGCCCATTCCAACGAATCTTA